ATTCCATTTGGATTCGAACTCAGGTCTGCTTATCTAAGTTGACGAGTGTACCATTCAGCCCACGAGCTGGGAGCCCTGAGTGTGCCAACAGTCTAACAGGCAGCTCAGGTGAAGGTAAAACCGCCTACCTCAGAAGATAAAGTGACTGTAGTAAAGGCGTTTTTGCCTAATCGATTACCGCAAGGTCAGGTAACGAACCGGTTTCTAGCAGTCCCAGAAGATAAAGTGACTGTAGTAAAGGCGTTTTTGCCTTTTCCGATGGACCTTCATTCTCTGATGCTGCCCGTTACTCGCCTCAGTCCACGCTTCCCACCCCAACTATGGGCCTCGCTCCACTCCTCAACATTAGACATGTATCCAGAAAGTAATACGGAGCATATGCATTCGGATCTGCCCAACATTTTGAATGCATTGGGTCAGTCACAGGTCCAGGTACGATTTGAATGTTGTGCAGTGGAGCGAGGCCCTATGCCGGGCCTATTCAGCAGCTCGGTGGCTCAACGATGCAGCTCTGGTCGTATCAAGGTTGGTGATGACGGTGGATCCGCCTCACAGATGAGATTCATCGGAGGGCATACTCACACGAGGACTTTTTCTACTAAGCTCTGGACGTGATTGCGTTAAGATTCATCCACGTCTGCATTTACAAAGTTCTAGTGTGAGTATGGCCTGAGGCCTTCTGCAGCCATAAAGAGAAAACAGGTGGCGGTCAACGTACCACCACTTTTCGACAGAAGACAAAAGACGAGAGAAAAAAGCATATCAAAGATTTGAGTGAAAGTGAAGCAATTACGTCCTCCTCCAGCAACGAGGTCCCACTAACCCAGCTTCATTTTAGCCGCTGATTTTCGTAATGTATGGTTGAAAACAAAGAATTCGGGTAATCTCGACCTCATCGCACGGTAAATTCAACTGCAGGAGTGTTTATCGAAGCCAAAGAGAGGGAAGAGTTGCTGACTTTCAAATACCGGCCCGATATTAAAAATTCCCAACATAGAATAACGAGCATTGAACGACGTGCACAGAGAAGAAGAGAACATGTATGTTCCTCTGTTTTTCATACTTCACCCCCTCGAACACACAAACAAAAAGGGCTACGGCCCCCACGTTCTTCCACATTCACAGTTATCTGAAGCCCGCTAGACTACCACCCTTCAGCAAGTGCTTCAGACAGTTCTAAGCCGTCCGCAGTCAGGGTTGGAAAGAAAGGACATTTCACACTTCTACTGAGCTCCTGGAAGCTCAGAAGAGTAGGAAGGTGCGATACTCCAGCCTGATTCATGACAAAAGAGCAAGGCCAAGACACATGCAGTATTCAGCAGCAAACAAAGGTCACTTACCGGTAGGGTCCAGTCATTCTTGGCCACAACAGCCCCCAATTCCTTCTCCCGCACACTTGAAAGCCAAAAGATTGAACGCACCTGCCCCGGCCCCCCCTTTCTCCCTCTTCTCCTCCCTCCTCACCCCCTCCTCGCACCCACAATCCAAATTCAAAAACGACTGTTTACAATAAAATTATCACATGAGCATGAACATTCACAACCCAGCGAAAGCAGAATCTCTAGACATCGCCGCATCAGCCCCCTTTCTCTTCTATCTCTTGAAGCCGTCAGCCCACGCTGCACTGTACACCATGCTTTCAACAGGTCCCATGCCCCGTTCCTCCATTCATACGCACTTCGCTTGCAAACAAACAACGACGGTAGGTTCTGAAAAAAAGAAAAAGAAGGTAGGTTCTAGAGTTGCATCTCCATTGACCGTGGTCGCATGGATGCGGCTGTAACGGGTGCTTGTTCCCTGAGGAACCAGATAGACAGAATCAAGGCTTCGATCAGGCCAAGATATATGTAAATTCACGAAGCCAGGCGACCATCATGAGCAGGCAAGCATTGTCGTCAGAAGAAAAATGAAATGGGAATTGGAAGGCTATGGCCATGCATAATTCGACAAGACGAAAAGGCCACAAGCGAACCCAAGCAAAGCAAAAGCAGAACCATGAGCGTCGGTGAAAGACAGCCGGCAAGAGGAAATACAGCAGTTGCATGCACTCCAGGTATACCTCCACGTCAAACTCACAGGAAGAGGTCTGCTGCGCGCTCAGACAATTGGCGAGATTCAAGACGTGCACTTGGAGAAATGAGGCATGTACAGGATAAACCCAAGCGCAAGATAGCTCAGCAAGGGTTGCAAGCGAGGTTAGAGAACCTGCAGACGAGAGAAATGAGTAACTCGTGTTACTTACTTGCTAACGCTGTGTACCACGTGGATCTGATGCTATCAAATGCTTGCACCATCGAGATGACAAATGATGGATAACACACTCTCCTGCACAGGTAGAGAAGAAGCCGATTCCCACAATGGAATTCCATGATGGATGCGGGAATCAGCTAGGCTGGGCCGCCCCTCGGGGGGGTCCGCCCGGGAAACCCAGGCGATGCAAAAAGTCGGCAGGAATTTTTTTGTTTTTTTTTTAGGTGGGGTCTTGCTGCGCTTCCCCAGAGGACCCCGAATCCGCAATAAAAAAGTAAATCTGGGGAGGTGGAAGGGGGGCGGGGAGGGGGGGGGGGAAAGGGAGAGGAGGGGAGGGTTGGGGTTTGACAGGAGGACTGACCACAGGTGCATTGCGACTGTTTTGCTGGTATGTCAGATGTCTAGGGGTGTATGTGGAAGAAGAACAAGAAGAAGAAGAAGAAGATGGGTGGTGGAAGATAGCGGGCAGGGGTGCATGGAACAGCGGCCGAGGAGGAGGAGAAGAAGAAGAAGATGGGTGGTGGAAGATGGCAGGCATGGATGAATGAAACAGTGGCCGAGGAGGAGGAGGAGGAGGAGGAGGAGGAGCAGAAGAAGACGAAGAAGAAGAAGAAGAAGAAGAAGAAGAAGAAGAAGAAGAAGAAGAAGAAGAAGGGTGGTGGAAGATAGTGAGCCGCGGTGCAGGAAGCAGTGGCCGAGGAGGACGAGAAGAAGAAGAAAAAGAAGAAGGAAAAGATGAAGAAGGAGAAGAAGACGACGACGACGAAGAAGAAGGGTGGTGGAAGATGGTGGGCAGGGGCACACGAAACAGTGGCCAAGGAGGAGGCGGCGAAGAAGAAGAAGAAGTAGGGTGGTGGAAGATGATGTACAGGGGCGCACGGAACAGTGGCCGAAGAGGAGGAGTTGAAGAAGAAAATGGGTGGTGGAAGATGGCGGGCAGGGGGTAAGAAATGGTGGGCGAAGAAGAAGAACTAATGCTCTCTCTCTCTCTCTCTCTCTCTCTCTCTCTCTCTCTCTCTCTCTCTCTCTCTCT